TAAAGAAGTATACAAAAATAAAATTTTCAAATTAATTTATTTTTTGGGTTTCTCATCTAAGATAATCATTACAATGTCTAACTTTTTTCATCTTAAAAGGTGAAAATTTTGTTGCAAAAATAATTTATGTGTCCAATGTTTTCAAACTCGGACCGGAACGATCAGTCGGGCTGGTCGAATCGGTGATCGGACCTAGTTTCGATCTGGATGACCCTCTAAATCTGGATTATGCTCAAAATCAGCTTAAAATTTAAAAACTGGAAGAACCGTCAGTTCAAGCGGAATAACCGGCAAAACCAAGTGCATAAAAAGTAAGCACTCAAACTACTAAGCCATCAATACAATTGTTGACATTGTAATAAGTATATATACTATATATTCAATATTATCTTAATTATTTTTACTAAAAATCAATGTATAAAAAAAGTAAAACAAATTTTAAGAATTTTTTTTGTAATTGTTTATTGTTTATTATTTATTATTTTTGCAATTTTAATATCTATATTTTTTATACTTATAAATTTTAATATATTTATGACATAATTATAACATTACAGTTCAATTCTGATTCACCCGCGGTTTAACCAGTGACCCATCCACCCCGTTACTTTTTCGCTTCGCTCATTGGTCCGGTTTTCAAAACATTGCATGTGTCATCATGAAGAACATGTTTTGTATACAAATAGAGTACCCCATGACATTACCTTCCACAAATCACAAATATATATGCACCGTATTGTTCACCAAACACCCAATATAAACGCAGTGGATATTACTGTCAAATCCAATTACAATAGTAAAAGATACGACATGACATATTCCCTATCCACATACAAAAATTACTACATCATGAGAGTTATCACTAGATGTTTGTCTGGAAAAGTAAAAAAAATGACAATTAGTGCAAAATTTTTAAAATATTGCTAATAAATGTATTTTTATGGAGAAAATAATTTCTTGTAAAAAATTGTTTACTTTTTAGACGAAAAATTTAGTCCTACAGGGAAAGTAGTCCATCATTAAATGTCTAATTTTTTCACTAAAACCCCAATAATGACACTTTTAGAAACATGTATCTTTCATAAAAAGTGATTTTATCCCTAAATTTGTTTATAAAACTTTAATTATTGTAGTGAATGTTTTTGTCTAGCTATTCTAGTTTAAAAAATACAATATTAGGGTAAAATTTTTTAACATTGGAGAAATGGAATTAAACTGAAATTCAAATATATTTATAATTAATTTCATCAAATAAAAATTAGTTTCATAAAATTTAACTTATGATGAAAAATTTAAATTTCATCATATGCTTTGGTATTTTTAATTAACAATAATATTTTTTGACATTTGAATAGAGATTGATAATAACACAGCATAATAAGATAAAAAAATAAAATAAAATAAAATAATTAGTGTTAATATAACGCGATTGAAAAATGAGACGGTAAGGGCAATATTAATTGCTTTTTCCACTTCTTTTTTAAGCAAAGGGGCAATAAAATCTAGACTATTTTAAAATATGTCACAATTAGCGGTGTTCGCAGTTTAGTTATGACCGAAAAATCTTTAATCCATCATTTATCTGCCAAATCAATAGATTGAAAAAAGTCAATCTGTATTCATCTGCTGGATTAGCCGATGCGAATCGAACGAATTGGTGGATTATTAGCCGATGCGAATCGAACGAATTGGTGGATGGATGCAAATCGGTTTGATGATTTAAATTTTTACAAATTTTAAACATAATAAATAACTTATCAACATTTTTTTTTGGATTACACTCTAAACTCAACATAATCGAAAAATTATCAAAAAAATTGTCAAATATCAATAATAAATACATATAAGGAAATTATGCATTATTAAAACTATTTCATTATTTTTTTTATTTAAAAATTATTTAATTTGATTTTTTTTAAAATGACATAATTAAACATTATATTTTTCACATAAAAAAATCAAATATCAATACCTATCATTTGATAAAAAGATTTCTAAATTGAAAATATAACAGAATATCTAAACTTTTTTTCAATTAAAAACACAAACATAATATCTAAACAAATTAAAAAAAATTTCAATTAAAAACACAAACAGAATATCTAAACAAATTAAAAACACAAAATCTTACAAATTATTATGAATACTTACAGTTTAGCGTTTCAGTTGCGACTAAAGAAATTTCAAATCCACCATCCATTCAAAACTAGATGAATTAAAAATGTGCTATCTCCATCGAAAACAAACCTGATTCAACTCCACTGAAAATCTACGCGATCAATACACTATCACACCACTGAAATCTCCGACGAAATCTCCAACAAAATCTACACGATCGTAGCAATCTTTCTCGTCAACTCCACTGAAATCTCCGACGAAATCTCCACCATAAAATCTCCACTGAAATCTCCGACGAAAACTCCGACAAAATCTCCACTTCAAATTCGGTTTCCAAAATTTATCAGTAACTCAACCATATAATATTCAAACAAATTTATGTTATAAAGGAAGGGTAATTTAGGTACTTTATAACCTAAAATAAATTTGAGGGACCTTAGCCATCAAAACATATTATAAAGGACCTCTCCTCATATCAAAAGTAGAGGAGGGACCTTAAGCCAATTTTTCCAAAAATTAATCCATAATAATCTATTCGTTATCACGTATCTATCTAAAATACCACGAATTGATTCACTTCAATCATTTTAAACGGATCAAACTATCCGCATAGTCACAACCACGTCATGTTGAATGTGATATCTTACATACAATTCACAACAGGAAGGTTCTGTTTTTTTATTTTTATTTTTCAATACACAAGTACCTAACAGTGTGAGTATTTGCAGCGTGTTTTTATCGTTATCTTTGTGTGTGAATATACATCAAAGGCCTTATCAATTGGCTCAGACGAAACGTGTAATATATGTAGAATATTACATAATTAATATAATATATAATATACATTGGTTTTCTCAATTGGACAGACATTGACACAACAATAAAAATGTTTCATTGTGTATAATAAATTACGTAATTTGGACATTATAATCCTTTCGTCTCATTTTGTTTATCTACTTTTATATTTTAATCCGTTTTAAAATATTTATTTATTTTTTATTTTAAAATAATAATTTTTTTAATTTTTTTTTGTAATTACTCCTTATAAATCATTATAAACACGTTTTAAAATTCAAGAAGAAAGGTAATGATAGAAAATAAAAATTTAAAAAAGCCCAAACTTGTATAATTTTAGGAAAATAAAATATAAATTATTTTTTAGATTCACTTTTTAGATTAGTAATGTGTAAAAGAGATGATTAGTTAATAATTAAAAATAATAATAAAGAATGTTATTTTAAATATTCTAATAAAATATCAAATTACTGAGTTTAAAAAGTAAAATTTTAAAATCTTTAGAGCAAACCTATCTTAAAAAAAAAAAAATCTTTGTAGCAAAAAAATGAAATTTTTTTTTGACTATGAATGGCTAAATTGAATGCTAATTGGCCGCTAACAAAGACATATCAACAATTGACAAATATACATGTAATTTTCATTTCAATTGAATGTATTAGAATCGAAGTGTCAAAACCCAATACATATGTCCAATATCAATTGATATTTAGAACTATAACATATATCTAACACTCTCAAACTCTACAATAACAGGAATATCACACACTGAAATTATCTTTTTATATCAACAGTGTAATATATACATAATTAAAATATAAGAAAATACACAAAAAATATATTATAAAATTTAAATTTATTTTAAACACGACCCATGTATATAAATCACGTATTATTATATTTTCTACTGTATTTTGCCTTCGTTTGGTAATTTGAAGTGGGTTGAGTTTGGAACTATTTTAGTCAAAAAAAACAAAAAACAAAATAGACTTTTTAGTTTAATAAGATAAAATATCACATCCAACTCATAATCATTACATCATTTCTCTTATAAAAAATTAAAAAAAGTCAAAAAATTTATCCCAAATAAAATTTTTTAATTCCAAATTAAAATACTCCCTCCGTCCCAAAATATTAGTCCCTTATTCCATTTTTCATTGTCCCAAAATATTAGTCCCTCTTAAAAAATCAAGTACAAAAATAATGTAAAATTCCTATTTTGTCCTTCTTTTAAATTAATAAACAATATAAAAAGTACAATTATGACATTGATATTCTCAAAAAATGTACTATCAAAAGGATAATTTTGGTAAATTAACTTTTTTTAAATGCAATAATTATACTACCAAAAAAAAGTTAAATTCCCCAAAAAGAATCATTATTTTGGGACAGAGGGAGTAACTAAAAAAATAAAAAAATCAACACAATTCTCAAATAAACTCCTTTTGTGTTTGAATTTCTTGCAAACTATTATTTTTTATTTTTTAAATACATTTGTACACGTGTACATTAAATATGGGGTGGGAAAGATTTGTGAACAGGACATTGAGATTGTGGGTCGGTAGTTGTCCTACGCGCCAAGAAAACAGGAACAGCTAGACTTAGGGGGTGGTGTGTTTCCATTTGCAACCTTATTAATCAATTTTTAACGGCTAGATGAGGGCAGACTATAGTTTAATTAAACCTCCAAAAATCTGAACTCCACAGTAAAGTCATGTTTGTTTAGGTAGATATGAACTTAAGATTGAACTAATAATTCAATAAAATTATTAATCTGATATTTGGTTAAACAATTGAAGTACAGACTAATTATTTTAAACTTGACTATTAGTTAAGATAGGATATATAATCCAACGAATTCGTAATCCTAAAACTATTAGTCATGAAAATACTAATTCAGTCCGTCCAAACATGACGTAATACTAATAATAATAATAATAATAATGAGAATACAAAAGACTAATTATTGTGGTTAATTGTTATCATTTGGTCAGATCAAAGCTATACCCACTATAAGATTCCCAAGTACCCATTTTTGTATTACTAATAATGTGTTCAAAACGTCTTATGAGTCGGTTCACATCATCAACTCACCCGTGAAGTCAGAGAGGGAGAGCTTTAGAGAGAGAAAGAGGCAGCCTCAATTTCAAATGGTAATTTTTTATTATTATTTTTTTAATTTTTTTATTTGAGCCCAAATGGTTTTAAAAGCTATAAGTTGAGGTGAAAGGTCTCCAAGATTGAGGGATTGGACAAGAAAGTCTCAGACCATTGCCCAAGGGTAAGGATTCTTGCTTCTCTCTTTCTCTCTCTCTCAAGAATGTCTTGAACTCTTATGGAAATCTGTGTTGATGTTTGGATGGCTTTATTTCCCAAAGTACAAAATAATTTTGCTCTTGAAAGTTCTTTTCAATTTTGGATTTGAAGAGAAAAAGAATAACAGAAAAAAAATGTGACAATTTCTCTTCACGATTTGCTATTGCCAATCAATTTCCCTCTTTTTCTTTTCTTTCTTTTTTTTTTTTTTCCCCTACACAATTTGTCACTTTTTTCTTTCTTTTTTCCTTTTCTCGCCTATAAGAGAACTATAAAATTATGCTTGGATCAAAAAATTGAGTGAGGTTTTGTAAAGAGAAAAGTGGAGAAAAAAAAAAATATAATTCATTCATTTTTTTTCCCCTTATTTTCTCTTTTCTCGCTACAAATCGTTCTTTATATTCTTCATCCAAATACAATGTTACTGCAAATTTTTTTTGCTACTGACAATTTTTCTTCCTTTTCCTCTTCTTCCACAAGTGGCCACTTTTCTCTTTCCTTTCCTTTCCTTTTTCCTCCATAAATCCAAACACAACTTTTAAGGATCAAATTCTTGAATTCTCTGTTTGTGTGTGTTTATTGTGTTGAGGGTGATACTATTTTGCTCCACTGTTTGGCATGAAGAGTCCATAGAAAACTTTTGAGTACCCAACTGATCTATTTTGATGAACTTACTTTCAGGACTCTCGATTTAGCTCATGGAAATCTCACACATCAGAGGATTACCAGAATTTGTAAGACTATTGTTTGCAGACTCTAATATCTTTTGAATTTTTTCTGTTACAGTTTTTCTTTAATTTCACATAATAATCATAATGACAAATTCAAGAATTTTGATTATGATTATGATGGTTCAATTATTCTTCTTCTTGTCACCATCACCATCACATAAAATCTCATAAATCCTGTCCTTTCTTTTTTCAACATTTGAGCTTTTCTTAAAAATTGCGATAAACATTGAATTAGAACCAATGAATTTAATTTTTTGAAATAATTCCAGATGATGATGATGATGGTTCTATTTTTCTTTGCATCATCATCATTCAACATATGAAAATCTCATAAATCTTGTACAATTTTTTTTAGCTTTTCTTAAAATTACATAAACACTGAGTTAGAACTGATAAATTTACTTTGATGCATTTCATGTTACTAATAAATAAATAAATCTCACTTTCACAGGGAATGGATGATCATGCTTTCCTTCATCAATGGCCGATTAACTCCATAGATGAGCTCAACACGGTGTCTTTAGCATCTTCATTCGAAGAGAGTTTATACCACTCTTTCTCTCATCACCCGATGTTTGACCTCAAACCTTCCTTGCTGGAAACATCTAACACTAGTGTTGTCGAAAGGCCCTCCAAAATGCCCAAAACTAACAGTTGGAATTCCTCTAAAACCGACCACACATCAAATTCCTCTCCGAGCCAAATCTCTTTTGCCAATCCAAATTATGCAACTCAAGTCAGCAACATCAAGCCTAAAGACATTGTGGTGTCTTCTAAAAGCATATCTAATTTACCCTCTGATGTTTCGGCCTCTCAAGGCTCGTTTGGTAACCAAAATTACATGTTTAAGGCTTGTCAAGGTTCTAAGAGGATTATCACAAACACTAGACTTTCTAGCAATCAAGATCACATTATAGCCGAGAGGAAGAGGAGAGAGAAGCTCAGTCAGCGATTCATAGCTTTATCTGCTATAGTCCCCGGCCTAAAAAAGGTATATTGGTATCTCTTTTCGCGTATGCTTTGTCAAATACATAATAAAAGCACATATATCAGAATCGTGATGTGTTAGCGAATTGTTCTGACTTTACAACCGCTCTATTAACAGATGGATAAGGCTTCTGTGCTCGGAGATGCTATCAAGTATTTGAAACAACTCCAAGAGCGAGTGAAGACGCTTGAGGAACAAGAGAAGAAGAAATCGGTGGAATCAGTGGTGTTTGTGAAGAAATGTGAGATCTATGGTGAGGGTGACAATTCTTCCTCGGATGAGAATTTCTCTGGTGGGCCTTATGACGAGCCGCTCCCAGAGATTGAAGTAAGGTTTTGTGACAAAAATGTGCTCATAAGGATTCACTGTGAGAGAAGGAAAGGAGTTGTGGAAAAAACAATGGCTGAAATTGAGAAGCTCCATTTGTCAATCATCAATAGCAGTGTCATAGCTTTTGGAAGTTCTGCTCTTGACATAACCATTAGTGCTCAGGTAATTCCTAAGCAACATATTCTTGTTTCTTATTATCAGTGTTTTGCATGTTATTGAGGTGTCTTGCAGCAAAACCTTACAAAATTGAGAAGGAAATTAATGTTCGGTTTGTTTTGGCGAAAAATATAAGTAACACAAAATGTTTTTTTGTGGCAGAAAACAAACATATTTAGACAGAAAATATTTTTACCTTCTAAAAAATGTGAGAAATACTTTTTCAACCAAAGTCTTACCAAAGACCCCAGATTACCAACGCCATAACGGCCCTGTTTGGTAAAACTGTGGGAAAGTGCTTATAACTTATGCCTAAACAGCTTATAGCTTATAACTATGAACATAAACTGATTTCTGACTTATAAATTAAGCATCTCCTGCCCCACTCAAAGAATAAGCTGATTTCTGACTCCCAAAAAGCTATGAGTTATAAGTTATAAGCTAAACCAAACACATCAAAATAACTTAAATTAAGCTGAAAGCTGAAATAAGCAGGTTTTAAGCAGCACCAAACAGGCACAACCTCCGCCACCCCCGACCACAACCACCACCGTCACCACTAAGACAACCACAAGCTTTTTGGTTTAAAGATCACAACTAATTATAGGATATTTTTCGTAAGAAAATGTTTTCAATCAAAACAAACAGAGCATAAGTGAAATTTTCATTTCAAAATCTTTGCTTTCTAATCCATTGCAAACCAATCTCAATTTATTTATTTGTTTATTTTTTATTTTTTGCAGATGGATGTGGAATTCGCCATGACATTGAAGGAACTTGTGAAGAAACTACATGCAGCTCTTAAACTCTTCATGTGATAGAAAACTCAATAGTGTCTCTTTCTTAAGTTGGCTCTATGTTTGAAAATCTTCTTGTTTTTTAACAGTCTGTTTGAGTCTTTGCTTTTTGCCAAATCTCATTAGTCATAAAGGCCTGCAATACACTCCACCATTTTTAGACCATCTTCCTTGAACTTGAAGCTTGTTTGCTGTGGGGTCCATTTTGAAGGATGGGTTTTTTTTCTATAATATATATTTTTTTCATGGTTGATTATTTGACCATGTTAATCACCCACCTGTTGTAAAGGAATGACCTCATGGCTTGGTTGAGCTTTTTTTTGGGGAGGTTGAAAATTCATCTCTCTTTCTCTTGCCTTGGAAGTGATTGGAAAATGGAAAAATGTTTTTTTTTTTTTTTTGGTGGATGGACAAACAAGCCTTTGTATTAGTGAAGTGTTCGGTCAGTGTTTTAGAGGCCTTGTTGAGTCTCTTTTTTTCGGTAATAGTTCTGTTGACAATAATGGAATAACATTTTCTAGTTTCTTGGAATGGACTTATTGCTGAATGTGATTGTGATTGATGTCTTAGCTCATCAGAAGGATGATATATATATATATATATATATATGTATGTATGCAGATCAATTTGTGATCATTTTGTTTTATGATTGTTTTACACACACAAGTTGGTTGTCATTAACTTACTTTTCTATTGCCAAAGAATAGTGACAGTTACTTTTTATTTTGTTTTATTTTTTGTCTTTAATTGTAGAACTTAATTAATTATATTTCATCAAGTGCCAAAGAAGGGAATTACACCATAAGGAAGAAGTCTTGCCGTGTGAGCCTAATGTTAATAAAAATGCTAATACTGTGTTTGGTTGGAGGATTTGGGAAGGGATTTGAAAAGAAAAAGAGAAAAAATAGGTGAAATGAGAATAAAATATAATTACATTTTACCTAATTTCACACACTTTTTCTCTTTCTATTTTTAAATTTCTCTCTAAATCTCCTAACTAAACACGGCATAAAGGAAAAGATGGTACGTGTCATGGAGTGAAGGACAGAGCACAAAAATGATTTTTGAAAATTCAAACTTTCGGTATTTTCTAAAAATGGGTAATTTTTCAAAAAAAATAAATACAAAATATGTAGTTCCTACCAAACAAACTCAGCTTTACATGTTCTTTTACATGATACAAATTAAGACTCTTATTATATTATATAGCTCATTAAATTGAGATTTTTGTTAGTAGTTGAAGACAACTAATAGAATAAATGTGGGTATATTTGTTGTCCATTGCTGTGTTTGTCTGTATTCTGCAAGTCTAATGTGTAATTTGACTTCCATGTCATTATTAAAATGATCTACTATGATCTTAGTCCCCACACATAAGATTTTGTTCTTTCTCATTCTTAATTTCAAATTTCAATCTCTCTCTCTCTCCCAAATATATATTATGTGTTCAAGTGTGTAAGTTTAGTTTACAGGACATGATTATAAAAATATGTTTTTCCGTGGAATTTAATAGGATGATTGCTACTTAATCTGAGATTAGTGAGATTCATTTGAAAAACTATGAAAGTAAAAACAAGCTACTGATGATGATTAAGTTGAAAAACAAAACATTGCTAATTTGTTTTCTAAAGCAATGTAAGAAAATATAATCCACACACATCTTCCGCGTAGCGACAAATATACTAGGCCCATGAACTTAGTAAATGACATATTTTGAATTTAATTTGGTCTGGTAAATTTGATGCTCATACAGTTGCATTCAAATTAATCTCTTCTGCCACTTAAAAAAAAAGAGAGAGAGAGAGAAAAAAAAAAACCCATAAATCAGTGACCTAAGCTAGTTGGTGTAGATAATGACATTCAAGCTAAAGGTTGGAAATCAATCTCAAGATCTTGATAGTAGAGTAGTGTTTTGTTTTTGTTTATTTTTTATCTTATTCTGTTGAAGTCATAGAGTCACCATTAATCACAGTATTGCATAGAGAGCGAGTTGCAGCCGTGAAAATAATGGAATAATTTTAAGAGATATGGCTCTCAACTCTGTTTGGCATCGTTTTCATTTTTCGTGTTTCCAATATGAAAACGATAAGAAGTTCAACTCCAATAGTTTCCATATCATTTTTTTTTAGGAAAACAAAATTTGAAATTTTTTCCTAAAATGGAGTGTTTTCAACAAACTTTTTCTAATATCCAAAAAACAGAACTTTTCATTTTCTTTGTTTGTTTTCAAGAACAGAAAATATAAAATTAAAACAATAGTAATACATGTTTAGTTTCATTCATATGTAGTAATATATAGCATGATGAATGTTTGTTTGAATTAATTTTTTTGCATTTTCCATCTTTATAGTTGTATATGAATGAATGAAACTAGTCCCATTGTCAAATCAACCTCACACACACCAAAAAAAGTAAAAACAAGAAGTAAAGATGAGGATTTAAATAATTAAAGTATTATAAAAATATAGCTTGTTTTCACATCCATCTAAATAAAACACCAATGATTAATATAAGTAGTTTAGAGACAACTACCATTGTATGAAAATGAGGGTGGACAACACAAAGCAAACAAGGTCAAAGGAAGACTACAAATTAAAATAAATTTTCTGAACAAATGTCTTTAAAATATTTGTTTTTCTTCTCAAATTTCTCTCTGAACCCAAAATCTAAATAGTGTGAACTTTTGCAGAAGTAGCTAGCATGCATTAAAATGGAGGCAGTCTAGAAGCTTTTTGGCTATTAATATATCTCCATAGGAATGCTAATAATTGTCATATACATGAGGTTTCAAAATGTCAACATGGATTCCCACAATGTCAATTGGATGACTTGTGATCTTCAATGGGCTTCTATGGTAGGTAACAAGGTGCAACAAAATGGACTATTATTGCTATGCAACAAAATGGACCATTATTAGTATGACTTTATTGTGTAAACATGTGCGGTTATAATTGTTATGTTGTTGTAAGGATAGCGTTTAGTAACGTTTACGTTTTTTGTTTATGTTTATAAAAATTTTATAAACTGATTTTTATTTATTTTTAGAAAAACATAAATTATAAATACGTTTGGTTTGAACAAAATGTTTAAAAACATAAACTAAAAAATATGTTTGTTCAGGTCTAAAATATTTATATTTATTTTTATTGTTTATAATTGAAAAAAAATTAATTAAAAAAATAATTGAAAAAAGTTTAATTGGGAAAAAAAATTATTTGAAAAAAAAATTATTTGACAAAAAATTAATTGAAAAAATAATTATTTGAAAAAAAAATATTTGAAAAAAAAATTATTTGAAAAAAAAAATTATTTGAAAAAAAAATAATTGAAAAAATAATTAATTGAAAAAAAATTAATTGAAAAAAAAATTATTTAAAAAAAATTTGAAAACTGAAAACGTAAACTCATTTTTTGAGTTTACGTTTTTTCCTCAAATTTATAAACTGAGACAACCATTTATAAACCAAAAAAATTATCAAACAAGTTTTTATGATATTTTTTTAAAATTTTTATAAATGTAAACTGAAAACTAAAAACGGAATGATTACCAAACAGACCTGAAGTGTTTTGAATTTATTATATATTTAAAAGTATTGTAAAAAATTCTTTACGGAGTAGGAGAACTAGGAGGACTAAGAATATTAGGCCGAGACTCAAAGATTTGATGATTTATATTACAGATTATTAAAAGGGTTTTAGATTTAAGTTGAGAGTCCTTTTGTAAATTTTATTGAGCGTAGTGAATTTGTTCTTCCTCTTCGCCATCAAAGTAGTATGCCCCAATTGAACCACGTATATTTTATGTTCTTGTATTTTTTTGTATGCTAATTGAATTATTTATGCTATTTTAGTAACTTTTCTAGTTTTTTTACGAAAAAAATGTACAGAAAATTAAAGAGAGTGATGTGACAACTTATAGTAACTTTTTAATATTTTGACTAAAATTTAAAATTGCCAAATGAGGCCTAAGTTTCCACACATCATGTCATTTGGGTGATACTAAAATAGTCTTTACATTAAGAATGTTTTGCTCTAAATGTCGTATTTAGTCAATAGAATGAAGGTGAAATAGAATGATTTCTTTAATCTTTTTATATGGAATAATTATAATTATTTATTTATATTTATAATCTTTCTCTAATTTTTTTAGTAAATATTGGAAACTAGCCACAAAAAAATAAAAAAGAGGACTATTAAATGTCCCCACCTTTTTACTCTGAACCCTCTCACTTCTTTGGCTCCCCCACAATCCAAATTGCTCATCTCTTTATTTTTCTTTAGACTCCTATCATAATCTCAAATATACCCTTTGATGATTTATATTACAGATTATTAAAAGGGTTTTAGATTTAAGTTGAGAGTCCTTTTGTAAATTTTATTGAGCATAGTGAATTTGTTCTTCCTCTTCGCCATCAAAGTAGTATGCCCCAATTGAACCACGTAAATTTTATGTTCTTGTATTTTTTTTGTATGCTAATTGAATTATTTATGCTATTTTAGTAACTTTTCTAGTTTTTTTACGAAAAAATGTATAGAAAATTAGAGAGAGTGATGTGACAACTTATAGTGACTTTTTAACTTTTTGACTAAAATTTAAAATGGCCAAATGAGGCCTAAGTTTCCACGCATCATGTCATTTGGGGGATACTAAATAGTCTTTACATTAAGAATGTTTTGCCCTAAATGTCGTATTTAGTCAATAGAATGAAGGTGAAATAGAATGATTTCTTTAATCTTTTTATATGGAATAATTATAATTATTTATTTATATTTATAATCTTTCTCTAATTTTTTTAGTAAATATTGGAAACTAGCCACAAAAAAATAAAAAAGAGGACTATTAAATGTCCCCACCTTTTTACTCTGAACCCTCTCACTTCTTTGGCTCCCCCACAATCCAAATTGCTCATCTCTTTATTTTTCTTTAGACTCCTATCATAATCTCAAATATACCCGTTGAACCCCACCCCTACACCTTTATCTCCTTTTTCCCTCCTTCGGCAGTCCCCCTCCCACTTCGGCTTTTTTCTCCAACAACTTGCTCAGATAGCGGTAATAGCAATAGCAATGGCAATAGAGCAACCGTCTGTTTCCTTGGAGTATTAGATAGATGCGAACTATGTTTCAAGAAATGTAACAACGTTGGAAGTATAATAAGCCTAAGTTCAAAGGGTGATTCCTCTATTGTAGAGAATCACATTGATGTTGCTAAAGATGAATAATGATAACTAGTTCAAAAAATCCATATTTTTTCCTTTGCAACAACTCTCGTTGCTATTCAGAAAACCTGTTCCGATCAGAAAGCATATGTTCGGTTATGGAGCACCGAACATATTCAACAAGTCCGACTCTATGCAACTGAACAAAGAGAAATCGACCAACCTGTGAAGTAGAGAGAGAAATCGAAGGGAAGAGAGAGAGTTGTGCACAAAAGAGAGAAAAGAAAGTAGGTTTTGAATGATGAAGATGAAAATCGCGAAAGAGAGTTCACAAATCAGTCGCTCCTTTTCTGTCGCTACCAAAAACCTAACATTCGCTGCTATTGATAGTTCCATGAATACCAAGTGGCGGCGAAAGGCTCGCCGAAAGAGAAAAATAACAAAGATGAGTTAGTTGCCTGAGGCTGCTGGTGGGAGTAGAAGTGGTGGTGGAATTAGGGTTAGGATTAGGATAAGGACAAAATTGAAATTTGGGATTAGGATAAAATTATAATAAAATAAAATATAAAAAATGAAGGTTCAAAATAAAAAGATAGGGACATTTATTAAAAAAAAAACCTCTTCTTCGTACACCCAATAATTATTTGTCTAATTTCCTAACGTCACGTGGAGAATGGATGCTTAAAACCTAAAACTCGCCCATATTTTTGGACTGGCTTAGATTGGTCATGGTTATGGTCGGTGATCTGGGTGTTTAGGATTTAAATTATCCCTCAATTATCTTGAAACATAATAGCTTGTTTGATTTGAATTTTTACGATTCACTTTTCAGAAAATTAATTTTGAATTTCGAATTTTGTTTTTTGTTTTTTGTTTTCATTGATTTTTTTAAATATTCTAAGCATTTTTTAAAATTTTTTAAATACACCTAACATAAATACACTTAAAAAATATAATATTTGTGAATTTCTTTTAGATAATTCACTAAATACCAAAAAAAAAAAGAAGAATTTAATATATTTTTTGTATTCTTGTGTATTTATTGATTTTTAAAAATATTTTTTTATAATTATTTTACTTTATAGATATATCTAAGTAAGGTACATCTTAAAAAGTAAAAAAAATTGTTTAAAATTTTAAAAATATTCACTAAAAATAAAAAATATGACAAAAAAACTTAATTTAAAAAAAAAATTAAAACCAAATACACTGAATATGTCATTTTGCTCTAATCAATCGTATGAAGAAAAAAAAAGAAAAAAGAGAGTTTGAAAAGGATTTAAAATGAGAGATAAACAATAAAAATAAAAATAAAAATAATAAGAGATATGCAATTCTTAATTAGGTCACTACAATTAAATTTTTATTATTTTATTATTTTTTTACACATTTTTTTTCTTATAAAAAGTTAAAACATAATAAAGAAATTGCGTGTCTACACGTCAACAATATAGTGTAGCATCAACATTAAAATCAAGCCTTGATTAATGGGGGTGGCCTAGCCATCTGTCTCTTCCTCTCGTCACACCATTCTATGCAAGATCATTGGTAAAGTAATGGCAGGTGACATTAAAAGAAAATTTTGCATGGTTGGACTTGGGTGGTCGGCAAAGCTTAATTTAATGCCTAAAAGGGGTGCGCATTAAATCAAGTTTAATTCAAGAATGATATTTGTCTCATGTCATGATGATACAAGCAAGACGAAAGTTGTGTATTAAGTAATTTGACAGTCAACATATAAAAATAAAAATAAAAATAAATTATTTGTACATAAAATTCTTATGAATATGATAATACATAATAACAACAAAATTAACTGTCAAGAAAATTTAAAGTTGGTCGATGGCAAAAAAAAATGATAATGAGCTAAAAATCATATGTCTCATTTTTTTATATTTTTCTATCCTAATGGTGTGTTTGGTTGGAGGATTTGAGGAGGAATTTGGAAAGGGAAATGGAAAAGGTAAGTAAAATGTGAATAAAACATGCCTAAATTTCACCTAGTTTCACACACCTTTTCCTTTTCTCTTTCCAAATCCCTTCCCAAATCTCCAAACCAAACACAACATAAATATATATTTTTTCTTATTATATAATTTATCTTTTTTATTTTGATCGTGGTGTGGAGATAACATTTGAGTAAGAACTGAAATGGATAATTTGGTTAGTAGTCCATCCCAATTCTTCCACACAATTTTCTAAGTAGCAAAACTCAAGTTTGACTCATTCTTACAATGGTACTTATGATAGCAGGGCTAGGAATATTTAACCAATGCATACCCAAAACTATTGATAAAATGCTTCTACAATTATAGTAATTTCTAATATGCAAGTAGAGATTATGGAGAATGCACAAAGAAAATTGATATGATTAGTTTTTGCAAGAATATATATTTCATGGGACTCTAGATGTCCAATTGTCAGTATTATTTTAATTATTAAGACATTAAATTTGACTAAAAGTATGTTGTAATTGTTGAGTTGTTATATTTTGATTTCTATGTTTCATGTTGTGTTGTTGGATATATTACAGAGTTAAATGCCTAATTTGATGCAATAATTGGTTGACAAAAAAAAAAAACAACAACAATAACAATAACAATAACAATAGACCCATTCTATCATTTTCTAAGAAGAACAATCATTGTAGGCCTTCAAAATCTTAGAAACCCACATCTGCTGGGCCTGCAGACCAAACCTCAACATGCTTTGGAACAAATTAAGGGCCCATTTAAGAATATCCAAAATTTATTTTGTGGTCCACTTCTTTTATATAGGCTTTTCGAAAACCACTCCCTCTTTCTTTGGTTCGATTTTTAAAATGGGCCCCTTGAAGCAATCTTGAAAATTTTATAATCAATCAATTTTTTTCACATCAAATTTGATAACGTGAAATTGACAAGTTAGGAGGGAGAATGGGGTACTGTTGCTCCCTTGGGGGAAGTCTTTTCCAGTTTTTTTTGATGATTTGTATCGTTCATATTGTAAGGTTCGCTAAGAATATTATTCATGTAAAAAATCAAATTAATTGGATATTCATAATCTTGTGAGTAGGTCCTAATTGTTTTTAAAAATTTATGAAAGTTATGTAACCGTTAATTTTTATAGAAACAAATGTACTTCACTTATAGAGCTACAGATATCCAAACAATTTAATTTTTTATATGAATGATTTACTTGACGAATCCTACAATATGAACGATTCAGATCATCAAAAAACACTCGGGACAATCTCTCACAAACAGTGGCGGAGCCAGAAATTTGATATAGGGGCACCTATTAATTATAATTTCAAAATTTTTCTTTCCCAATCAATAACTCAGTGTTTGATTAAGTGAAATTAACATTTAGTTCTTAAATTTGCATATCCAAAATAGTATAGAATAATTCAGCACGATAGTGATGTAGGTTTGTAATTTCTTGAGCATTGTGTATTTTTCTCCCTCGAACTACAAACATATCATTCATTTGGAGAACATCAATTTCATGCTTTTATGTATATTAATATTAATAAATTTAAAATAAGAGCAAAATAAAAAAAAGTAATTAGTGTATGATGGACAATATTAAAAAAAGTCATGAATTTAAAGTTTTAAAATAAATTAGTATATAATGATAAAGTAATTTTTTATACAAAATATGCGTAAAAATTCAATATAATAGTCATACCACGTCATCATTGACATGTGATATCACCAACCAATAGTAAAGAAACATGTGAAGAATTAACCCTATATGTCAAATGTAACTAACAATTTAATAAACTCTATATTTTTATTGAGGTTAATTATGTTTGCATGTCAATAATGATAGATATTATCATTATATTAGAATTTTCATAGATAATAATATCGTAGTCTCTTTATTTTCAATCAAAACAATCATTATTGTTCTTATAATTTTAAATATATCATTGACATTTCACTCTAAATAATATTTTTATAAATTTTTTTACATAAAATATTTTTCTTATGTTTGTCCGGAAAAAAAAAAATTGCAATACTCAGGGGGGCACGTGACCCCCTTGCCTCTACATGGCTTCGCCCCTGCTCACAAAAGACATAATAGTAACTGAACCCCCTTCTCCCGTTGGGAGAGGTTTTTCGTTTTTTTTTTTTTCATCATTTCTCTCCTGATTTACATACCAAACATGAGAAATAGTTCAATTTCCTCGTGTCATATTATTTCTTACCGAATCAATCTATTCATTCAAACATATAGTTAAATGACAAACTAAAATTATACAAAAATAACGCAGATAAACCAAACATTAAATAATTATATATATTATAAATTTTGAAACAACCAGTCATCAGAGGTGTCGTGGTGTAGTTGGTTATCACGTCAGTCTAACACACTGAAGGTCTCCGGTTCGAACCCGGGCGACGCCATTGTTTACTTTTCTCCTTTTTCGGGGTGAATTTTCTTTTTAATTTTTTTTTAAAAAAAACTGCGTTTTAAATTTCCCGCAACAATTTCGGCTCGATACCGCTAAACACGGAAGGGTACAACCGACTTTTGACATCAACTTCCACGTCACGGCAACGAAACTTTGATGCTTTCGAACCAATCAGCATCGTGTTCGCATCACTTTCTCCAATCACATTGGTCCGTTCATTCCACGTCACCATTCTCAGAAACAGAACCTCAACCGCTAATCTAGAAACTTCCTCTCTCTCCTTCCAAATAAATCGAACCCTAGATTATTGAGATTTCTTCGTGGCAAATTCAGATTCAAACCCTCCAATTTTCCGATCCCAATTCTATCAATTTCTCTCTCCCTCCTCCAATTTTCCGATTTCATCAGTTTTTTTTTTAATCTTTCTCTGATGGCTCGTAGATCGTTGAGATTCGTGACAGTGTGTTTGGTGCTATTGGCGATCCAATCATCGTCGACGGCTCTGATTTCAACCCCGGATCTCAATGCTCCCTACCCAAAAGCCTTCTCTGTAAGTTCACACTATTGTTGTTGGGTTCATGATTTGTTGAGAGATTTGGAAAGTAAAAAAACAAAGAGCCTTCCTTCTTTTTGATTGCCGGGATTTTATTTTATTTTATTTTATATTTTAAATGGTAGGAAATCCGAATTTTTGCTGTGTACAATGTTTTTTATTAGAGATTGATTATTTCATTTTTTTTTTTTAATGCTGTGTTGTTTTTGTTTGTTTCTTTTACTTTCTGTTTGATTCCTGGGAAACTTTATTTTATTTTTTTAATTAAAAAATTTAGAAAAATAATGAAATTTTGTTGTGTACAATGTTGTGATTATTTGATTTTTAATCGAACGGAGCCTTTCAGCTCCAGTTTTCTTAAATCACGCATCTTGAATTTCATAAATTCTTTGTTAATGTTTTGTTTCGGAGGTTAGGCTGAGCTGGGATTCCTCAATCCTATGAATTTTTCTTGCCAAACAAACAGAGAATTGTTCTTTCATTCTTTTTTGGTTTGATTTTTTAAATTTAAGCGCACATGGAGGGAGCTGTTTTATGTCTAATTTTTTTTTTTAATTTCATCTTTTTAGGATTTGAAGGAAGCGATTGTAAAGGGATTAGGGTTTCAAGCAGAGGACTTCAAAATTTCTGGGTTTGATTTGAGAGATGCCTTGGTTGGTCAGTCAGTGGCCTATGAGTTTGATGTTGAAATTGATAATAAGGTTATTCCATTTAAGCTTTTGGAGGATGTGAATCGATGGGAATATGTGGATTTGCCTATATTCCGAGAGGATAATTTAAAGAGGCCTGGTGAGGAGAATGGTTTGGTGGAGAGGCAGAAAATTGAAAATGGGCTGCCAGTTTTGGCTCCATTTCAGCTGGCAGGTCCGATGGAGTTGTGGATACAGGATGCCAAAGACATGAGGCTTTCATTGCCAGTAAGTTAATGAGGCATTTGTTTGAATTCTATATATTGCATGTTTATGAGTTCATAGAATATGAATATCTGAGATTGAAACATATCTTTTTTGTATGAAAATATTTGAACAGAAATGTTAGAGACCCATAATTCAAATCTCTAAATTCACCCACAATGATGTGTTAGGAGAATTGGATCCTGTATAGGTTAGTTTGTGACAAATTAAAAGTTGACATAGCATGCCATATCATTTTGGATCAGATTATGATAGGCTAAAGTTCTCAAACATTTTTTTTTATTATATTTGATTGTGAAATATAGAGTTGGAAATTCGTTATATTTGACACACTACTTGCCTCTTATATGATTTTCAATCTTGGTCTACCTTGGCTGTAAACTCAATCCAGAAACTCTCTGATTATCTTTGCTGTTCTCCCTTATGGATAATGAAAATTTTAGCTGGCATTTGGATTTTGGATTTAGATGGGTGGTTTTGTCTTCCCAATTCAAATTCATTCTTATTTACGGCACGAATGTGGCCTTTTCTTAACTTGTGGATGGTTTGAATCAGTAAAAATTGTGGATCTTGAATAAGAGTTGCATTCATCTTTGCTGGAATTCGGTTTTTAAATTCTAAAAAATCTAATCTGTGTTTTCAAGACACACTTTTGAGATGTCATTTGTCATCTTCAGTAGGACATTCATGGTTCTTTATTTTTGCCATATGAAGTTACTGTGAAATGGGAGTTTGGGTAATGTGGTGATGTAATGATGGTAATCTTGCTTGCATTTTTAGGTGTATTATGTCTAACCTGTGTGTTATGGGGTTTGGGATTATGTTGGTTCACATTTTCACATTTTTTTAGAACTCCCGGACAGATTTTTAGTTAAAGAGGGTTGGGTAAAAATATATATATATATATTTGAAGTTTTTTCGAGTCACTTGAGACGTCCACTGCCATCCTGTTGTAACACATTTATGAACAGCAATTTAGGGTCATGAATCTCAGTTCTTTAGGAAATCTTTTTAGTGTAATCTGTCTGATTTCATCGTTGATTTTGGTGCTCACATTTTTTTTGTTCTGTCATGAGCTCTAACAGTTCTACTTATTCTTCAAATGGATCATTGATTCTGATGTTGCTTCTATCTTACAGCATGATGTGGATGCCGGTGAACTGAAAAAGGTGATCTTAGCAGACGGTGCTGTGGTTACAGTAAAAGGAGCCAGATCAGTTAGCTTGCGCCACCCAATTGACTTCCCACTTCCCCTAAATCGAACCCACAATGGTTTCGCAGCAGGTCTTCTACATCTGGCTGAACATCTACGCCACACATCCCTCACTCAAGACGCCCAACTTCTCTCCCTCCGCATTGTGGGCCCTACCTCACTCACTTCCCCTACCTCAACATCACCCCTCTCCAAAAACAAGCTCAAGCTCAAGCGCCTTGCCCCAGGCCTTGTGGAGCTCTCCTTACCATCAAAGGCCAAATCCATCGAAGCCATGTCTGCCATTGATCTCCAAGGAGAAGCTACTACCCTTCTGACTCCCGATCAGTTCACTACGCTCTGGCCTCTGACTTCGATCAATGGCTCTAACTCTAATTTGCTTGGTTTTGAGGCACTGCTATCTTCAGTGCTTGGCTCAAAGGCTAACGAGGAAGGTTCATTCAAGTTGTTGAAGGCGGATGTATCAGCTCGGACTTTTGTGAAGATAGGTTTTGGAGTGGAGAAGAAGTTGAAAGAAGGGGATAAGGGATTTGGTTTGGAGGGTTTTCCCGAGTGGAGGACAAAGCCTGAGACCATGAGAATGCATTTTGAGGTATTGGCTAAGGTCGAGGGAGACAAGGTTGTGCCGGAGAGGGTGACGCAGGTTAATCCCATTGTGGTAGAGGATACTGTAGCACCAAACGTGCTTTTGGGGAACATGACCATGTCGACAACCCCTATTGTTCACCCTCCTCCCGACCCCTTCACCTTGTAAATCTGTTGTGGAGGGTTTAGTTTTGTACCGAGTCAAGAAAAGTGTAAAGATGGAATTTTTTTATTTAAAAATTTTAGCTAATAATATGATATATCAGTTTCTGAGAGGTCGAATACTGTAAAAAGTTGTGAAATGAAGACATTGAAGGCTTTATTTATTTAGCCTATATACTTTGAGTACATATCGAGATAAAGAAAAATATATTATCATACATGAATTCTCAGCTTTGTCAATTTAACTGCTGCAACAAAGAGATCTGTGATTTGAGGTTTGAATAGGTCTTGCCTTGCCCCGTCTAGATTGTATACATGAATTCTCTGTTTTGTGAATTTGACTGCTGCAACAAAGAGATCTGTGATTTGAGGTTTGAATAGATCTTGTCTTGCCCTTTCTAGATTGTATATTGAATAAAGGGTCCATGAAACTTTTGATGATTATTGACCATACATGTCTGCTCTGAAATTATACATTTTTTCATTTCTGTAATTCTAAAATCTGCATTAAACTTTTCTCTGGAGAAGCAGAGTTTTATCTGGGGAGATACTTTCCACGATTTGTTCCCATCCATCCTCATCTGTGTGTGAAGGTAGGGATGCTCTTATGCTTAGAGATACTCTCCCCGATTTGTTCCCATCCATCCTCATCTGTGTGTGAAGGTAGGGATGCTCTTATGCTTAGTTTAGCTAACAAATAATATTCTTGATTCAGACAAGTTGTAAGGTTTTAAGACTTTGAATTCGTTAGGAATTATTTATGAAAAAATTATTATTTTTTGAATTATTTTGGTATAATATATGTACTTAAATAACTCTCTTTCAAGAATATATTCATACGAGTGTTGGCACCATAAAATAATTATAATTATTATTATTTTCAGGATATGTGATCCTCTTATTCATTTGGAAGTTAAAAGAAGTTATGCAGATGATAGAAAATATGAATGACAAAGTGGATGAGTGGAAGGACACAAAGGTTACTAAGTAGTTATTGCTGTATTTTTTTCTCTATAAATAGCCATCAATGGCTACATTGTAAGGATCAAAAATTCAAATCAAAGATAATTGATTTCTATTTTTCTTATCATTTATATTTCTTACATTTTATTTTACGTACTTTCTTTTCGAAGCATTTATTTTCAACATTTTTTTTTCAAAGTATTTTATGTACTTCTTTTTTAAAACATAGGAGCAGAGGTAAATAATTATTACTTTGATTGTTCACTCAATCATCTTTCTCTGTCTCCCTCTTTCTTCTTTTAATTTTTCTTTTCTTTACACTTGGCAATTTTGAAGTCCTCTTTGTTGAGGCAAAAGAACCGTTAACGCAATTACTTGATAATTGGCTTGAATTTAATTTGTAAAGATTTTTCAATCCTTACTAGCACGCTCGCATTTATGGTATTTTCCTTCGTAGGAAAAATAAGCCAACGTTGAGAATGTGTGATTCATGCAAGAATAAATCAGGAATCATTTTTTATTTTATTTTAATGCGATCTAAACATTAGAATCATTGTATCTAGGGGTGCAATTTGTGCGGGCTCAACCTGAGCAACCCGAACTCAGCTTAAATTTTTTTAGGACTTGGACAATATATTTTTAAATTTGGTACGGGTTTAGGCAAAAATTTAGAAGCCCGAATTAAATTTGGACGGGTTTGGGTAAAGACGTCAAACAACCCGAGCAACCCGAAACCCGAATTATACATATACAGATATATAAAAATATTAAATATACATATAAATTATTAGCTATTACATGATATTAAAGTAATTTAGATTATTAAATCATATTGAATATATATTATATATACAAATAACATAAAATCTTACTTTTTTTTTTTATTTTCACTCATAAATTGTAAAGAATATTATAGCGGCATCTCTTTTACATTATATAAATAATTTGTTTTGATGGTATTAATGATTTTTTATATAAAAAAAAAATTGTAAATAGAGTCAAATTTTAATAATTTAATTAAAAAAATTTAATTCATTTACAATTTGGATAATTTAGGCAACTCAGTCAATTCAGATTTAACTCGGACCGAGCTTGGACAGGCAATCACAGGTTACAATTCGGGCCTGGACAGATTTCAACACAACTTGAATAAAGGTTGGACAATCTCCCAACCTAACTGAACTCGCCCGAGTTCACCCCTACCTTGTCAAAGACCACCAAATAATTTTCCCAATTTCAATTAATACAGATGTTTTGTTTGGACTAACAGTATAAGGCAATGCAACAAAATATTAGTGTTGTGGTTTGAAATGATGAGTACATTTTAGTAAAGTTTGTATTTGATTAGAAAATTATAAAAGATGATAACTTCTTAAACGATTATTTTGTCCTTTTTAATTTGTTTATTATGACATGTTAAAGTTGAAGTATGTTTTATTTTAGTAGCTTTTCTCAAAAAGAGTATTGATTGAAGCTAATTTGTTTTTATATGGAATCCAATACAGAGTTGACTAGGCATATAGGTCCTGAGCATCTTGAAACTTGGGTCCATATGGATTTTGAGTAGTTGATCCTTCAGAAGAATGTGAACTGTCTAAACTTTCTTCTGAACTGCTGTTATTCGAATCTGACTGGGCTTGGGCCTGATTAACAAGTAGACGAGCCGTTTTGAGCAGCTCATCTTTGGATGACTTAGACTTAGATTTATCCTTGGGCTTGACTTTGGGTTGAGCTTGAGATGCAGAAGCTGTAGACTTAACCTTGGACTTTGCTTTAGCAGTTTTGGGCTTTGCTTTATCCTTTGATTTAATCTTGGACTTGGGCTTGGAAGAACTTGAAGATGGGTTTCCAAGATTGACTGTAGGAAGTTGGCTTCCTTGGGTGATTAAAGCAGTTGGGTTCTGCTGAGCTTTAACCATGGCAAGTGTAGGAGCATGAATGTTAATCGGGAACTCAGTTTGAACAATTTCAACAATGCGGGAAACTTTGTAGTTATCCCACCATTTAACATTATGTTGTCGGTAAATAACATTATCAGAAATGCCATAGTGCCATTTGAATATCTAAGGGATTTTGTATTTGAATATAAAAATAAGCAATTTAGGGAATTTCTTCTGCTGTGGGTGAATGCGAAAACAGTTGAAAAATAGTTAACTTGTTCAATCAGAATAGACGGGAAGATATTTGAAATGGCGCCATAATGAGTCCACCATCGCAGAAACCAAGTAGGTAATTCTGATTTGAACTTTTGATCAAACTGGAGAAATCAGGAGTGACTGTATGTTTCATTTTGATACAAAAATACTTTGAACCAGGCACCAATATAGTCATAATAACTATATTGAAGAGAGTGATTAGGTAAATCTCGAAATTGATGAGGAGAACCCCATTCAACTAAGGAAACAATATTGTGAATATAGAGTGAATGGTAAACAACTTTACTTGTATAAATACGATCATAAATAGGTTTAATCACATTTGACTGGTGGTTAAACATGATATCTTTATAGAAGGTAATTGACTTTTCTGGATGCATAGGAACAAAATGCCATCCAGGAGGAAAATAAGATTTAACCAGGTCATGAACAGACTGACTCTTTAGGTGACTAGGCTCTTTGAAAAAGAGATTAGTAGTGGTAGATTTAACATAATCAGATCGGGCTGATTTAATAGGATTAGGAGGGTATGGAGTGACTGCTTGGCTGGATGAAGCAAAAGGATCAGTGGCCAAAGCAGAAGTGTAACTAGGTTTAAGAATGTTACCAAGAACTTGGTAATGATTAATCATTTCAACAAGATGGTATTTGGTTACTAACTCCAAAGGAGGAGGAACAAAAGGTTGACTAGATACGACCAAAGCTTTGGAAGGAGGCCTTGGGCGAGACATCTGTTTAATAGAAACAAAGATTAGCAACAAAACTTAACAACCACTAAGGAGATCTAAGTAAGCTTGATGATAATTCAAACAGTTGTAATAATTAGTAAGTAAATAGCGACGAGCTTGAATCTGGTGATAGTTAATATACTGAGCACGTTGAGTAGTTTTCCATGCTAATTTTAATCGAGCAATGCGGTAAGCAGTTTGGTGAATTAGATCACAGTAATGGGTAATTTGGGTTTTATGGTAAGTAATAAATGGAGTGGTCATCGCTCAATCCTATCCCCCTGTAAAAATTCTCGTGTAAGAAAATCATGAATAGAATTTTGACAACCAAGTATGTATGTAATATCAAAATCAAAAATACTTAATATAGATTGCCATCGGGCAAAAATTTGCTTACTAGCAAGATTTTGAACACCTTTTTCTAAAACATATTTAGCAGATTTACAATCAACATGAAGTAAAAACTTTTGATTTAAAATATCATCTTGAAATTTATTAATACATAAAACAGTAGATAAAATTTCTTTTTTAATAGTACTATAATTTAATTGTGCTTTATTCCAGACACCAAAATGATAACGAACAAGTTGTTCAGATGACTGAGGAGTGGTTTTCTGAAGAAGAATGCCACCATAACCAATATCAGAAGCATCAGTTTGAATAATTTTGAATGAATTTTCAGTAGGAATACCAAGACAAGGAAGAGACTTGACATATTGTTTGACTTGTTTAACAATAGCAGTACGAGTAGAAGACCAAGGAGGATGATTGTCTTTTAACCAATCAGACAGAGGTTGGCAGACTTTCCTAAGGTTTTTATAGAACTCAGCAATATAATTAAGTGAACCTAAGAACCGTTGTAACTGGGGTTTATCCAAAATTTCATCAGAGAACTTAGACGCAAACTCAATGGAGTGACTAATAGGTAGAATGGTATTTTGGTGAATATCATAATCTAAAAATCTGACTTTGGTTTGAAACAATTTAATCTTAGGAGCAGAAATAACTAAACCATGACTTTTAATAGTATAAAAGAATGCAGTTAAATGTTTTTAGTGTTCACTAATTGATTTTGAAAAAATAAGAATATCATCGATATAAACGATGGAAAAATGACTAAATGGATTGAAAATATCATTCATTATATTTTGAAATTCACTAGGAGCATTTTTTAATCCAAATGACATAACATTTCATTCATAGTGACCAAAAGGTGTAGTGAATGCAGTCTTATATCTACCAAAAACCACTTTTTAAATCAAAGTTACTAAAAATAACAGCTTGACTAAGTCTTTTAATCAAATCTTTTTTATTAGGGATTGGGTACCGAATCCATTCTAGAACTTTATTTAATGGTTTATAATTGATAAC